ATCACTCTCTTTAAATAGATTTAAAAGATAAGATATGTTAAAACATTATGAACACCGCAACCGACTACACATGATCGAAACTAAGTTAGCATATATTTTTATCCATAGTACGGAAAACAGCTGGCAACAACTTTCTGCTATCGCAAAATTTTCATGGCCATCACTTGGATAATTAGCACTCACCCACGGTGCGCTTTTCAAGACAATGTTTGCCTCGCACTACCAATCTGTTGAACAAGTGGTCGTCTGCGGTATTTTCGGACCTATACGACCTTCAAACCTTCAAAAAAAGGGGGTACTCCTTCTTAAAAGGCTAGCAACGCACTTGGGACTCCTGAGTTGCAGGCGTTCATGGGCGACAGTAGTCACTTTTCATCAGGTGACCCGTCTGCTCTTCCATAAAAAAAAACCTTACGCTGTCCGTCATATAACAGTTCACAAATTTAATCTCATCTTTATTAACGTTTTTATTCGTCTAGCAAGTTTTAAATTCAAACTATTTTTGGCACATCCGATGTTAAATTTAAATTTGGGGGATCAGTTGTTTTCTTATGATTTTTCAACAACTTTGGTACCTCATAAGTTTGTTTTATGGACGTCAAATATATTAAAGCAAGACCGGAGCCATATTTTACGCCTTTGAAATATGTCTGATATAACATTTAACTGGGTAATTTGCAACATAAAGTTTTCTTTAAATACAAAATGCTGCCAAGCTACAACTTGATTAGGCAATTTAGGAACAATCTTCTTAAAAATTAAATTAGGTAAGTATGCTACTTGCATAGTGATGATAAATGGCTAAAAATAAGTGGAAACAAGACTGGTAGAGTGTGGCGATTATAGAAACGATCTAGCAACCGTTAAAATTTATTTGAGACATGTGCTATAGAAAAAAAAACATATTATTAATAATACAAAACTCATTGTTATATATTAACTTATAAAATAAGATTCGCCTCACTATAATAAGATCTAATTTTGAGTAATTCACGAACGTTATCCCACGAGATAAGCAGCAGATTAAACTTTAAATGAGAAAGGCAAAGCGTAACAAGGTTGAGAGAATGAAGCTTCAAAGAGCCTCCAGTTCGAATTGCAAACTGTGAACACAAGAGAATAGTAGGGTTGTGTTAGCTGAAGTTAATATTTGATGAGGATGTAGAACAATGCGCACACCCAAGCTTACAATAGAGCCTACATAGGTAGACAACAACTAAAGATAGTCTGGTGATCGAAATTCGAACGTTTCCAATATACTGGGGACGTGTAGCTTATGTCAACGTTTTTCACATCATTTTCAATGCAATTATTTCAAATGTTAATTTAAAATTCTTTTAGATATTTAATCACCTTCTCCATATCGACGCTTGAAAGGCAATTCTTAGTCGTGCCGGCGAGATTGCATTAGCAAATCTGTGCGTTTGCTGTCACAATCTCCCCTCAACTGGCTCCATAGAAAACCGCGGGCTTGTTAGAAGAAAAAATATATCCAAGTAATAATATTGCAATAGGTTAAACGCGATCTCCTGAATTGAGGTTACTTTTACAAACGAACGCGTCTAATGCGAACAATAAATCTTCTATAGCCTATGTTTTTCAAGAGTTTCATGATTTATATAAAACTTTTATACTTATTACTTTTGAACATGATCCAAATATCATAACATAAAATTATGTTAGACTGATATACATAAAAGAAACATTTCGCAGTATTAACAAATGATTTCATTCAGTAATGCAATGGAAAAATAAAGAAAAATCCTTGAGAGCTATAAAATATCAATTCTTTATAAACGTAGAAAGGAAATGACGAGCATTTCCTTGCCTGTTAGACAGTCACTAGAGTTTGAATATGCAAGTAATGTTGTTTTTTTATGTTACATTAATATCTTACGTATCTTTTAAATAAGAAATTATAGGTTGACATACTATTTAGCACGGAGAGCACAAATAAATCTAAATACGAAACAATTCAAATTCTAATCATTAATTTAAAAAATAAACCAATTATAGATATACGCATTAATAGGAATAAGTCAGCTATGCAGTTATTTACCTGTTCCAATATATAGATTCTATAGAGAAAAATTGGTAATAAACTGCAAGAATTTTTATCATTTTTTTTACAAATTATTAATTTTGACTAATATTAATCGATACTTTTACTTATTACTATTTGAAATCATATGCCCAAAATCCAACGCACTATTTATAAATCTAAATATTATAACAAGCAGAATCGCATACAGAAATTAATTTAAAAGTATATATAGTGTATAGATTTATTTATTTATTATTATATCTATATTAAGTTTCACGTATGTAATTTCGACGGTAAACCACTAATGAACTACGAATAAAACGTTCCTTATAAAATCTTAATATAAAATAATGGATAAAAAGTTACTTATTTCATAGTTTAAATAACTTAATCTAGACAAAATACGGACCCTTTCTCATAAAAGATATCAGATAGATTGTCGTAACCTTGCTGACTTTTATTCTCTGGCTTTCTTAAAATGATAAACCTACACAATCATTATATCGATATATAATTACTATTTTTCCTTTTGTAAAACTTTTAAAACCTACTAAACGAACCTTTGCCTGCTACAACTGCCATTTACACTACTTACAGTTTCAGATTTAAAAGAAGCCTGTAAGAAAACTCAGCTATTGATAAGGCCGCCGTTTGCACCATCACTTTTTATATACATATTTATAAAAGCTTATATGGTTTACAGTAACAAAAATGTATAGTATACTCGTAAGTCTTTGGCCAATTCTTTGCAATGTCACACAATGCACCGACCCTAAATAAAATCAGGAATAGTGCAGTAAGATGATGATATGTATAAGTCTTTAAGGTTTTTTTCAAACTAATTATCATGTATTTTATAGTAATGTGAGTAAAATGAGAGACTATGACGTAATACTGAAGGAATTAACTCAATTCGTGGAAGATCACTCTCTAACTAAACACTCTCTATCTCTAAAATGATAAAAGGACGTTGTCTGCCTTAGAATAAGGTTTTACTTACATAACTGTTTCAACTTATCAATGGTTCAATCCTTTGGAAATCGATTCTTGTGAAGTATTAGATTGTTACTCTAATACGATTTTTAGATTAATTATTATTAGTATTATGTTTCCAACTCCTCTCATTTACTTCTGATTAAATTCTTTGCGGGTTCCTAGTCCGTTTAACTTTTCTTGGGCCTCCCCGAGTGTCTGAACACTTTGTGTTCGTGGGTTACTACTGCTGATCCTAGTGAGCAAGAGTTAAAGCAGTATTAGGCGTATGGAATGGATTAATCCATTAAAAAAAAATAACTCAAATGATACCTTTAGAGAAGTCAGTTAGACATTACTGGTAAAATCAGTTCAGTAGAGCTAAATGGATTGTAGATTAGATTGTTAAGTTACAAGTGACTATGCTAGTGCCTATACTTCTATATAGGCACTGAAAATAGACTTACACACAGACAGTTTTTCCGTACAGCTTTAAGAATAGATCGATAAATCAATTGAACTTTCTAATAAATAATTTTATAACTATAAGAATAATTTATTCACTAATATCTTCAAAGTTAATCTTTAGATGTAATAAAACTGAAAAGTTTCCTTAACCACGAGACACGAGAAATTTTCTATTTAATTGTATAGTAAACATTTTAAGAAAACAATTACGACCTGTTTTTAGAAGTTCATTCAATAATTAATAACACTGAAAGATAATACTAGTAACTATTTAATTGAGTAATCATTTATATAAAGCTTTTATAGTTTTTCTGTTAATCATCTATTATTTTTATAAATTGTAATTGTACGTATAGAATAATAATCTATATTAACAACTAATTGTTTATAAGAATTTCCAGGTTTAGGTCCCCAAAGTTATTATAATTGATAGCATAATTTTTTTTGCAATTTTTTTTTTAAAGACTGAAGAAATGTAATATTGTCTCCATGTACCTACTTGCATTAAATATTTGAATGTAGGTCATAAATTATTAATTTAAATAGTTAATTATTATATGAATACATACAATTATGAAAACAAAACAGTACACTGATTTATACTGCCCCCGATAAATATAAGCACAGTGCATCTCTGCGAGTATGCAAAAATTCGTAATTAGAACTGCAGCGCGTTGAAGTCTTTTAAAAGAGATTGAATTTTTACTTAAATAACTCTGTACAGTGCTATACGTTATTTAAAAATATTTTTGTACATCGTACTCATTAAGCAAATCGAATCTAACACATAATATTTAATCATAGGACTTAGACTGAACAATACAATATTAGTGATTAGTATAAAATCGTACTTTAAATCAAATCAAAGTGTTTAAGTAAACTATAGTTAGTAGTTGTCGTAGTGCGGACTTGACGTTAGTTTGTCCGGTGGTAGCGGCAGGTGTCGCCGAGGTTATGCACGCCTGCACTATAATCCTCACTTCCTAAAGGCACAGTGGCGTGATTGTTGCAAATATTTACGCAGATGTGTCACTACTGCCACTGTCGTATTACGTAATTATATCAACGTTTGTTTAGGTATTGGCCGAGGCAAGGACGACCTACGGCTGCGGCCTGCTGAATAGTGCCGGCTGGTGACAACCCCGAGCGTACTACATGCGACACTCACAATTATATAATAACTTCATAAAACTATTTTTTAGTTATGTTATAAACCTACGATGTACTTTATAATAAACAATTAGAAATTTTCTTAAAATATAGAATAATTCCATTTTTATAATTTTTAGAATGTCATTAAATATTTAATATATTTAATGACATTCTTCTTCTAAATCTTTTATACCATGCAATATTAGTTTTTATTTAAATTAGGAATCACTTTTTCAATAAAATTGTAAGAAAAGCATGAAACGTACGCGAGACCGGGGGAAAAGCGTGAAAAGTCATGTGTCGACCAAATCAGCCGTTCTGGAGGTCACGTCATGCGAATCAGCTGTTCGTAAAATTAATTGTTATGGACGCAGTGGAAGATAGATATGTACGTAAAATGTACTCACCGGCTGCGGTAATCAGCCACCACCAGCAGCAGCAGGCGGTTACGAGCGCCCGAGCGCCGGCCATTTCAGCGGCAGCGCATGACACGCGCGCTCTCGCCGGCCGCCCCGGCGGACTGAGCGCCGCCCCGCACGATCGATGCTCGCTCGCGCCTCTCGGACACGCACCCTCCCGACCGAGTCGCCGGCCCCACCCCGCCGAACCCCGCTGCCATTTTCCGAGTTTCCTTAGAGAGCGCGCGCGCTGCCCTCTTTTCTGGCGGATCGCTGACCGCCCCTAATTGATTGGGCCCGTTCACTTGCCGAACACGTTTTAGGTCAGTTCAGCCGCAGAGCCTCTGCGCCTAACTCTTACAAACTTGCAGTTCTGAGGAGATACTTTGTGCAACCACTTCAATGAGTTGTAAATCCACTTTTATAGAATACGTTACTTTTCAACGTATTTATTATTTTCTGGATAGCACTTGTGTTTTCACTCTTTACATTTGAGCTCTTTACATGTCGATCAAGAACACTGTCGATATTTTTAATTCATCTCATTTGAAAGGAAAAACAAAGGTATTTAATCTGTTAAACCAATCATCAACCATCTGTAACCAATGGAGAAACTTTTTGATATTGACGTTTAAATACTCAGTCAGCTTCACCATCGGGCCTTACGTCAGGGGATGGGATACCCATATGGGACAGTTATTAATTACGTGTTTTATATGTGGGCGTCAGTAATATAAACATTGAATACAAATATACCTATTTAAATGTTTGAAAATAATCCTAGTGAATGTAAATCTAGACTGCACCCGTGGCGTAGTGGTTTAAGCGGTCACCTCGATTGTCGTTGTGGGTTCGATCCCCACATGGAACAACACTGTGTTATCCAAGAATTGTTGTTCTGCGTCTGGGTGTTGTTAGTGCCAGCTCGATGAATGTTTGTGAAGTCCTCCGCTACACAGGATATATTCCTAGTGCGGGAGTTGTCTTTAAGAAAAAACCACATGTAAGAGAATTGATTATATTTTGGTGTTTTTATAGCTAAATTAACATAGCCTATACCTTCTTCAATGATCATTAATCATTGAAGAAGGTATAGGCTATGTTAATTTTATACCATGACAGGTCTACATAAATACTGGACATCTAAAATTCCGTAGGCGTTTTTACATATAATAATAATGTTTTCACACATTTCACATACGGCCGTCTGATTCCAAACTAGGCAGAGCCGGTAACCGGACTGCCGGTAAACATACTTATATATTTCTAAATACATACATATTATAGATAAAGTACACCCAGACACATATAACCATAACTATTTTTAACTTTAAGCACATATTGCCTAAAAAATTTGGATTTATGGACTTATTCTACATACAAACATCAATTATTCTAAATATGATATGCTCCCGTGAGCCATATTACCTTAAAAGGGGATACAAAGAATTTTCTTGACGGATTAATAGAATATCGAAGATGTGTTAGATGCACATTCTGTTGCAGTACGTATAATATATTCGCAAAAGTGATAAGCAAAGTGTATATTTACTTAATATTAGTTTGAGGTGAGTTTATAATATACGTCCAAAATATAATTCACACTATCAAAACATTTTTAACGGATGCAAATTGGCCAAGGAAGAATAAGCTCACCGCGTGTCTTCCATCGCACGACAAAATACTCGTAGTCCATGATATTGACAGGCCATTTGGTTTAGTGGTTAGTGGTCCTGACTGCTAAGTCAGAGGTCGTGGGTTCGAATTCTACCCATGACAAATAATTGTATGGTTAGCACGATCATGACAATGTGTTCTGTGTCTGGGTGAAATTTATCTATAATTACTCATGTATTTAGAAATATAAAAGTATGTTAATGATTAATAAAACAAAATTTGTACATCACAAGTTCTTATTAAAACAATTTTTACTACATTTAATAGTGGAAAAAAACAATACTATAAACGTATCGTACAGCTAGCAATTATCGCCAATGATTTTGAAGACGATTTATATTAATAGTAGTTTTAAAACCTTTTTAGATTTGTAAGTTCCTATAATTTCATTTGATTTAGTGTTGCTGCTGAAAAAAAACCCATTAAGAACGGCACCAAGAAGTCACGATAAAGTATTTTAAAATTTGTATATCTGTATATGATTAGATATACTCATGCGAAATAATACTTTTATTGCTAATTCGCAATTTATTTCACAATCTTTTCAGTAACAAATACACCCGTAGTATAACAATATCCCGCAACGTAGTAATGGGGACGATTGGACGAGGTAACTTGTAACTTCCTCCGGGATAAGGCCTGGATAGACGCGACGTCGATTCGGGAGGATCTTCGTAATTCATTTATTCATTTGCGAATATGAGCATACATTTGCAGATCTTATAAGCTCCTCAAGAATGCGGAGATCTGATGATGTCCAAAAGCACCCAGAGATCCAGAGGGATTTTCCACCACGTCACCAAAAAAAATTGCCAAAAATTGTTTTTTGTGTATGATGTGGGGGCAAACGTAGGTAAAGAGAATTATAACAAACTATTTCTCGTATTTAAAATATTTTTAGGCTACAAGAAGGTCGTCAGTATAAAACAAGTACAAAATACCTACAAACCTACAATACCCTGACATCAGCGATCTTCTCTGATTACATCACATTGTATGTACAAGTATGCTTTATTCCCAAGTTTTAAAAATAATAATCATAATATTTTTGACATCTGACACACAACGCCATCTAGTTGCATATTAGTACAGAGCTCGACTATGAAAGTTAGATTGACTGATAGGTTATAATATATTTAGCATTGCAAATCGAAGCTGAAAAATTGCATTATTTGTAATAGCAACCATCCTTATTAAGAAATATTTCATAGATAAAAGAACATAAAATGATAATATTTCGAATCTTCTATGACACTTCCTGTATAGATTAACAAACCACTTAGACATGTTAGGGTGCTTCTACACGATGCAAGTAGCTTGCGCATGTTGGGTCCAGCGATTCGCGTATTGTACCAGCGCGAGCCACCCACGTAGGTAACTCAGGCGCTAAATTAATTAACTCTAATAGAAAAACATTTTAACAAATGATTCCATAACAATTCGCGTTTGTCGAGGCATTTTAACGCGATTTATTGCTCCAGCTACTACACCGTGTACAAGCACCTTGTTACTGAACTTTTTCAGATCTGAAACTAGCAAGACCCAAGATATGTAACCCGCGCGAGCAGCATGTACAAGTCACGAGCAAGTAACTTGTGCATACTACTAACGCAAATAATCCGGTCTATACCCACTACAACTACTTGTACCCTTAATGACATCGCTGCTAGAAATGGCTCCGCTTAAAGGATGACTAGAAGCAGTGAAATAAAACAACCGTAGCCGTAGCCTCTAAATGAATAAGATGAAGTATTCAAAGCACTTGTTTTAAGGATCCTCATTATTTTACATTCATCTTCTAAAATATGCTATAGAATATTTTTTCAACCACTACAATAGAAGGTATTTTTTTACTATAATAATGCTGATACTGACTTGAGAAATCTCACTCACGGCTGGTGACTATGTTTACCAGACTGCTGATAACCATACATTACAAAATTGTTATAAGTAATAGTCGAGTAGATTAATTATAGTCTATGGAAGTGTACACATCCCTAGAGTGCAGAGGGACTGTGATGATAGAGACAGTATTACGGTCTCATGATGTACTTACGGAAGTTCATAACACACATAATTGTGAAAAAAGTTACCCAGATGCAGAACAAATAAATAATTATGCTCACTACAAAAATATTTGTCTCGGGTGGGAACGGAATGCACGTCCACTGGCTCAGCAGTCAGGGTTACTAACCAAAAAAACATGCCCGTTAAATTCTGCATATCATATCATGCATGTCAAATGTCATTATGACTAAATATGTTTTAAATAGTTTAATTCAATAAGGATAGGTAAAATCATAGAAATAAAATAATTATATACTTTTAGTACCAGACACAATTACATTCTCAGGCAACTGGCTGAAAGAAAAAGAATATGGGTCAGAGCAGAGAGAAAATAAAATAAGTTTATGGTGCTGACACGGAGTACATGTCATAGACAATAACTTTTTACCCTAGATAAAGTACCTGTAGATTTTGAAATTAAAATTACCTGAAAATAAACACAATTCTTTATTCTAGATTATTTCCAGAAAAAAGTAAGAATAGCTTTTATAGTATACTAAAGTTCTATGTTTCTTTCCTTTTGACGGCCCTGTGAATCTAGTGGTTAGTTACCCTGACTGCGAAGCCGGAGGACCCAGGACTGTGTCTGGGTGTAATTTATCCATAATATGTATGTAATTAAAAATATATAAGTATATTTATCAGTAATTATGTTTATCACCAGTCTGGTTACCATCTGGCTATGCCTAGTTTGGGATCAGACGGTCGTTTGTGAGATGTGTGAGGTATATTACATAATTATTTTTGGAACGAAGTTCCTTATCGCGCGTTGTGAAAGGGGGCTAGACGGAAAAAATTCGTACGAAAATTTGGAACGACACTTTTAATATAAATTGACGTCTAACTGTGGATACCTTTAATATAAATTTGCTTTAACGTTCGCCAATGTCCATACCATGTTGAATACACCGGTTCTCGTCCGATCACCGAAGTTAAGCAACATCGGGCGTGGTTAGTACTTGGATGGGTGACCGCCAGGGAATACCACGTGATGTTGGCTTTTTGCTCTTTATTTTCGTGTCATCTTGTCAGACATTCAGCGCCATCTATCGAATAGATAGGAAATCATTTCGCAAGGAGATTTTACCAATGTATAAATTGTTTTAATTGTTTTTAATATGTAGGTAATAGCCGCTTTCATAGATGGCGTTGGAATTAAAATCGTGTCAAATCAGTTTTACTCGATCGTCACAACTTCGTTCCTATCGGGTGTCCCACGACACCACACGGCTTTTTTTTAATTTTACATTCTTTATGGGACACGTGTACAGGAAGACAAAAGTACTGTTACTCATAATCTCATTTCATTAATTCATATGGGCCTCTAAAAGCAAATATACAGTTTTTAAACATTTTTGTGCTTCTGCAGTAACAATAGATTTAATCATACAGTGGTAAAAGTAGATAAAAAAATTAAGGAATTTAAACCAATAAAATAACAATAGTGTAATAAATATAAAAAATGTCAAAACAAATCAAAAAAGCTTAGCAAAATTGTAAATCAGTAAAGCAAAACCATATCACTTAAATTGAAGTATTGCTTTTTTGTGAATGAATATTTTCAAAAACAAATTAAAATGATTATAATTAATAAAATTGAAACCAAAAATCTCACATCCCTATTGAGAATATATTTTTTCTTGGCTCTTCAATTTCTGATCTCGTTTAGCCCACTGAATGACTGATGAGAAAACTGAATAATTCACTAATTATTAAAATTATAATAAATAAATTATTAAATTAAAATATTACACCATGTCAAATCATAAATAGGAATTGAATTAAAACATTTTTAACCTGTATGGCGTATACTATTTTCTGTCATAAGGGTAATCGATTTTGCAAAATCATCGATGATGGCATTGATAATGACATCGAAAGCAGAACATCTATACTCGATGTTTGTTAAGCACAAAACATCGCCAATATCGATGTTTTTTGCAAACACTCACTAATAAATAAAACGACCATAAAATCGCATGTTTTTTTTTATTAAACGTGTTTTGGAAGCAGAAAGTTGATTTACTAATTTAGCATTCGCGTTAAAGGAATAACTTTGCTGCTTATAACAAAGCTTTCTCCGCATGCCTCTTGAGTTGCGATCTCAGTCAGTTCTTCTATCTGTTTGACGTTTACTATTGGAGGAGCACTGTTATGGCAGTTTACAATTTGATTAATAGCTGTGCGCAGGTTTAAAGTAATCAGTTTCAGTTAGGATTGTTTTGTGAAAAGTGTGTGGATCTTTTCCACACACTTTTCAAAAGAAGAAGAAGAAGTGGGCAAAAGAAGTTACGAACTTTTTTTGCCAAACGCAATATCAATAACTTTCACAACATTTGCTCCATCATCAGTCTCCACTGCCACTACTTTATTTGTATCTATCAGCCATTTTTCGTAAGTTAGTAACAGCAACCCTTGCAATGTATTCAGTGGGATGCGATTCTGTTAACTCATACACTCCCAATGTGGCTGATACCATTGTATCAGCCACACTGTCTTTATAAAAATGATAGAATTCGATTATGTGTCAGCGACATCGATTCCGTCCGTCAACGAGTCCGTTTTGTGTAATGCAATATCGATGATAAAACATCGATGTTTTATTTTTTAACATTAATGACCATCGAAAATCGATGATCATCGAGCATCCTTAATCTGTCATAACACTACGAAATCGCAAAATAGTAAACAATAACCAAAATTATTTTAATATTCCTTAGATTTAGCCAAAGACCTATCATGTTAAAAGAATTGTATTTATTAATAAAGTCAAACTTACTTAGTAATATAGGCTTCGTTTGGGTTCCAATTTAAATACTTTCAATTTATTTAGGAAGAATCAAATTAAAATGAAATTTGAACGCGGTTATTACGACGTTTTCGTTAAAACATGTGCCACACATCCCTCAAGAGTTGCAGTGAGATACTATGACAATGGAGACTACAAAAACTACACATACTCAGAACTCTATGGAGTGTGCGAGTATATTTCACAGAATCTTCAGCAACTCAAATGCAACAAAGGCGTAATTGGCTTAGTTTCTGAAAGAAATATCCTCATACCTTGTGTTATTGCTGCGTAAGTGTCTTTAGACTAGTTGAAGTATAAATAACTGTGTACTTGTAATATTATATAAGTATTAAATATTTCCAGGGCCCATAAATGCAGTACTACATTCATGTTCGTAGATCCAAATCAAGATGTAGAGACTATAGCAAAACAGCTTGAATTTACAATGATTGTCACTATCAAGAGTGACACTAGTGAAAATAATTCTGAACTATTTAGTAAAAAACCAAACCGAACAGTATCAGTTTTCAATATATCCATAAATTTTTATACTTGCGATTATCCTAGTGACCCGAACAGCAAGCTCTTAGAACATCATTCATATATAGCTATAACTTCCGGCAGTACTGGGGAGCCTAAACACATACAAGTACCCATACAATGTTTACAACCAAATATAGATGACTTGACCAAAATCTTTAATATAACACCTGAGGATGTAATTTTCTTCTCCACACCTCTTACTTTTGATCCCTCAATGGTCGAAATACTCATAGCATGCATGAATGGAGCTTCACTACTCATAGCACCTGATAAAGCTGACATATTGTTTCCTGCAAACAGTCAGAATGCTGTTACATTTTGGCAAACAACACCATCCAGATTTTTACAATTTTCAAATTCTGATATACACAATATAATATTGAGTGCTACCTCCACACTTAAGATTCTAGCACTTGGTGGAGAACCTTTAAGCAGTATCAAGAGACTAAGAGAATTAAAAGATATTAACAATAAAACTAGAATATTCACTTTGTATGGAGTTACTGAGATGTCGTGCTGGGCATGTGTTGCAGAACTTGACTTGTATAAACTTACTAATAATAGAGAAATACCTCTTGGGAACTGTCTCTCTGAGACACAAGTAGTTGTTGAACATCATAAGAAAGAACATAAGCATACTGGGAATATCATATTAGGTATGTTGTTTAAATATTAAGATGCAATATTTAAGAATGCTTTCCGAATGATACCATGGCTTCACAGAAAACAAACACACATTACAGATGGTTAAACACTTGCTTTTCACTGAGTGAGTTTAATGGAGTCCAAAATCCCTCACTGTTATTTTTGTGGGTCTCCTTCTCTCTTGAGTTGTAGGTCTTGTCTCACTGTGCTTTCAAGACACTTTTTGCATCGCACAACCAATCTGTGTAACAAGTTATCGTCTACGGTATTTCTGCACCAATACGACCTCTGGCAAGGCCCTTGTGACTCCTGAGTTGCAGCCGTTCATGGGCGACGGTAGTCCCTTTCTTCAGGTGACCCGTCTGCTCGTTTGCCTCTCTATTCCATAAAAAAAAGGTGTCCATGGGTGGCAGTGGATACTTACCATCAGGTTAACAACTATTTGTCTGCTCTCCCTATCCCAAAAATAAAAAAATATAGATTCATAATCCTTTTGTAACAGACCTTTGTTTTATTCCAGTAAGCAAAACAAGAAATTGTATGATTCTTAATAAAGGGAAAGGCAAAGATGAACAAAGTTTTCTAAAGTTTGTGGACACGGGTGATATAGGAGAAATTAAGGGTGGTACCATATACTATAGAGGCCGCAGAGATGACACCATCAAGAGGTTTGGCCATAAAGTAAATCTGCAGCTCATTGAGGTGACCATCATGCAATGTCCTAGAGTAAAAACTTGTGCATGTTTGTGGTTGCCAAAGCCACTACTTCTAGTTGTATATTTTTCTTCTGAGACAATTAGCAGCCAAGAGTTATCTGACTTTCTAAAGTGTAAACTGGATGAAAAGCACTGGCCAGACAAAATAATGAGAGTAGATAATTTGCCCACAAATAGTCATGGAAAAATTTCAAAACAACTTTTATATAAAATGTATGAAAAAACGACAGGAATACCACAGAGTTTAGACTCACTGAAAACATTATTCATGAAAGAATTGAATACTCTACTTAAAAAGTGTTTTACTTATGAACAAGTAAAGAGCAAGGATTTTTTCGCTATTGGTGGAACTTCCTTTGTAGCTTTGACTATGGCCAATAAGTTATCACTAACATTCCCACAAATGGGCAAACTCATTTTACCTTATTTGCTGTCACGAAATACAATTGATGAAATTGTTCAAATACTACAAAAGGAAGTCTTTGGTGAAGATTCCAAACGTAAAAAGCAAATGAAAAGATCCAGATCAGCAAATGATACTGAAAAGACTTCAACCAATGTAGGCCAACTGGCCATCAAAAAAGCAAACACTGTACAGTCAATTAATAATATTCAATTTATGCCATTATGGACAATTGACACAGGAAAATGTATAGATGCAACTCCAACATTATTTCAATCAGGATTGTAAGTAAACTTGTTCATTTATGACTATTTTTACCTTATTCAATTATTACTTTTCTTTCTTTTCTTTGTCTGTGAATACCTCTCAGTGTCTTTCAACTATAGCACATAACAGCAGCTAGCTATGTTTAACGGCGTATTTACATGTTGGCGCGAGCTTGTTCCCCACTGCTCAATTTGATATTATTGAGCAGTCGAGAATCAACATTAAGTCTCAATGCTCTACTGGTTGAGCAGTAGGGCAAGCGGCAGACGTGTGTCCGGAACACACTAACACACTCGCAAACGTGTAAATGGCATCCAAGCGTTTGTAAAGACTTGGAGCTTGTAAACGTTTGCCAAGCCTCGGCACGTATGTAAACTAGGCATAAGATGAGCAATAACAGTGAAACCTTTTCTTACATATTAAAAAAATATTACATATTAGACTATTATAAACGAGTACCTGCTTTGGACCACAGTGATACCAAAACCTCATGAAAATGCGATGTTAAGCGTCCCTTTCGCTGCCTTTCACCGAGTAAGTGAAGTTACTGGAACCTGTCAAGTAGCTCGGTCGGTCGGAGACGGGATTGGGCGATATAAATGAAAAATAAGCGTGTTTTTTTACTGTTATAATATCCAAATGATTTTTAAATACAATTTCGCGACACATAAATGTGCAACGCAGTAGTTGAATACGTTATAAAATGCTGACAAAGCTTGTATCCCTACAAGCCCAACCTAACCTCTCACTCCAATTTTCTCACTCAAACGGCAGCAGCGCACTTGAGTTGGTCTCTATGGGCAATAGGGAATATGCATGTATTTTTTTTATTTTTTTAAACGATTCTACTAGTTATTACATTACCAAAAATAAATTTAACACATCCGAAATATAAACCGTTAAGCAAAAAAAAATTTATTAAAATCACTATCATTTTGGGGCAATTTGAACACGTCCATTTTGGCGCGCTTTTTTTTGTGATGTCAGATTACACTTTCAGACGAATTCGATGTCAACAACGGAGTAAAGTTCACAAAGTTTGTGAAAGTTAAAAAGTGAGTAATAAAAATTAACTTATTACCATGGAAAAGCCAATAAAAACTTATTATAAATATTGTGCCGTTTCTTTGTGCCCAAATAATATCATAACTGCACCTGACAAAGTATATTCAGTCATTGTGTTGAGTCTTTCTACGCGGGAATTTAATAATTTAACACTGAAAACGTATTAGTTATTAACTTAAAATGAAACAAATAATCACCAGAAACCAAATATTACAAATACACACAACTTGTTGACACTCTTGACAGTGTAGGTTGACGTCACATTTTATTCAACCAATAGCGTTGCGTTTTAGAAATTTGCGAGGGAATCTTAAAAAAGCCAATTTTTGATGATTAAATTTCACTATTAAATTATAATAAATTTCAAAAATAATTGTATGGGTATCTTTTTTTAGCAATAAAAATTACAAATAAAAATATTTTGTCCATTTTGGTGTCACGTGCATATTCCCTATTGTGGTCACTTAACATCAGGTGATCTGTAGGCTCTTGAGTTGCAGGTGTATAGGCAGTGGTACTCCTTAGGATTATTTGACTTGTCTTCGCGTTAGCTACCGCTACTTACATCACGAGAGTTTTCTGAAGTTCGGCGACCGGCTGGATGTCTTTGATAAAGTATATGTATGGAATTGGTAGAGGGGTCTCTATCCGCATTTAAATTCGGTTAAGATAACAAACATTTGCTAGTTGATGTTTAATAAAGGTTTTATTGCCACTGTTTCTTAAGTTTTCAATTGCATGCCATATATATGTTTTTACAAAATCCACCACACCAAACAGACATAAAAACAAACGTACAACTTTCTCGCGCACGCACACACATATACACATAGTATATATAGGTACATACATATATGTATGATATTATATTTATATCTCTGTTTGATTAAATGTTTTGTTTAAAAGTTTAATGTACTCACTCTGTTATCTGTAGGTAGTATTATGTAATTGCACCTATAATAAGTAACAAACTGATGTTACATCTAAAAAAAATGGAGAATTATTTTTCGATTAATTTGGGTGATAGTAACTTCATCAGAACTCATAAATATTGTTTTAACTAACCTTGATTGAGTACTTCCTGAGCCATGATCTCAATGTCAATGAAACGTACAACTCCACATAAACACCTCGTACATTAGTGCTAGTGGCGTAATTCAGGTTATACTATATTCATTTCATTAGACTGGAGCGCTATAAAGCCCTAGGCAGAAAGTCTGCGGAACAGGACACCGACGCGGCGTGAGAAAGTTGTAATGTACCTAGAATAAGACTATTACAAACAAATGCCTGTCAGACCAGAGCGACACTTTCCATCAGGTGACCCGTTTGCTCGTCTGCCTTTAAGCTCGTAGAAGTAGAGTAATTCCTAAAGTATCTACCAAGTTATGGTCTATGTGGTACTGACTGAGTGGAATAATTAGCCAGCCAGCCTGTAAATTTCATAAATTTACGCGTCAACATCCCGTCCCGCTCGATGTCTGTCTCGACCATAAAAATTTTTGCTAGCGCCATGTCAACAAGAATTTTGTAACCTAATGAATTTTGTTATTCCAGTCATCTGTACGTCACGGTTGGCAGTCATTCTGGCAAAGTCATTGTTGTGGACGGAATCAGTGGAGAGTTGAAAGGCATCTTGAAATTGAAATCACGCATCGAAGCCGCGGTTGTCTATTGTCCCGGAGGGCAGCCAGCTGGTGTCATCGGTTCCTACGACGGAAGTATAGTTAAATTTTCACTAGATACCGTCACAGAACTGTGGAGGATTAATATTGGATGTATGATCAAGAGCAAAGGAGTCTATTGTCATAGTAGATTGTATATTGCGTCCTATGATGGCAACATCCGCTGTATTGATGTCACGGTATGTTTTATTTTATTTATTATACCAGACGGCCAACAGTTATCTAAATTGCCGTTATTAAATACCTATTGATAACAAAACATTATTGTTATGACACTTTTCAGAAATTCGCGTATTGTATCCATTAATAGGAATTCAAAAAGTGCTTTCTATAGTACTAAACTGGCAAACAAGCACCATTATTTGGTTACAGTAACTTATTACATAAATACATTTGTAAAGGCCCCGACCATATTGCTCGTAACGTGGGTAGTTTAATAAATATAATAAATATTTTTAATGAAAAATACATTATTGCAGAATGGTGATGTACTGGACACGATAGATGTTTGCGAGCAAGGCATATCAGCAGACTTGGTGCTAGCTAAGAATCAGTATTTACTGCTGGGAACTTTGTCGGGTGTGTGCGCTAGTATCCACACATATACAAACTTAGTGGTATGGCGTGGGTCGCTCAACAGTCCTATATTTGCTAGCCCTGTTCTCTATGACGAGGACAAATATGTTATATTTGCTGAAGTTTGTGGTGATATACATTGCAGAACAGTCGAGAAGGGTATTCAGGTAATTATGAAACGTTCTATATTGAAATTCAGTAAATATATTAGCAACTATGAATACACTATAGCAGTAACATAAGAAGGTAACTAAAAACATGTCTGAAATAATACTCGCTCGTTACAATAGTTTCCTTAGCTAAATTAAATTATGAAACAAAATATGAGACAGATCAAAACATTAAGGTTTAAATTTCATCTCTTATTTGTGTTTTTATCAGGATATTGTACGATATATGTTTGAAGTGAAAACTTTTTTAGGCGCGTTGGGCACTTTTGAACAACAAACAAAATAATATATTTTTTTAGATGGAAAATTCCATTGAACTAGCTACACTTACCGTTACCGACACCTCTGTACATAAGTATCTACATATATGGGCCCCGTTTACACAAGATTTGAGTTTGGGTTGTAATACATTGATAATATACCTATATAATATATAAGATAAACATATATTGTGTATGTACGTACAACATAGATATATATTCATGTCGGACCTTTTCGAATAGAATAAATAAATGCATACAATAAAACAAACAAAATCCTGCTATAATAAAAAAAAAAGTTTTACTTCTTGTCGGCACTCCTGGAGTGGCACTGTTTTTTTTTATGGTGTAGGGGGCAAACGAGCAGTTGGGTGGACCTGATGGTAAGTGACTACCACCGCCCAAGAGCATCTGCGACTCAAGAGTCACAAGTGGGTTACCGCCTTTTGTGTTCCTTCCCCAGAAATTGGATAGGGAGGTTTTGGGCTCAGGTAACCTCTCTCACTCGGTGAAGAGCAACGAAAGAGGATAATAATAATGTTTTCGGACTTCTTACACACAACGCCATCTAGTTTCAAACTAAACAGAGCTTGTACTATGAAAGCTGGATTGACTGATAGAATACTTATGTACTTCTTTTTGTAAATACATACAAAGAAAACGGTCAAACTTCGAAACAGATATTTGCAGATCACACAAACTTTTGGTCCGACCTGGAAATCGAAAACGAGACCTCAGCACAGCAGTCGCATACGCTGCCACTGCACCGAAGCAGTCAATCTTAGTCATACTATTCTAGTAGTGTCTATTCTACAAATGAAGAAGCCTATCGTGTGTCCTGACCACACAAAAATAACCAACAACTGTCTTCAGTTCCAAATCAAAGTTCAACATGCGAAATTTTAGCTACATACATAAGGATGTTTAAATTAAATATGCAATACCATAAATGAAACGAAGTTATATGCAATATGAGTACATATGTAATACGCTAGATATTCCGGACGGTATTGTAGATAGTGTAGGTACATAATATCCATTGAGGTCACTGATAAAAATTTTGAGGAAACAAAACTGATGAATATTAAACTGCTTTATATGTATTGAGCTTGTGTATTAGTTAGGAAATTTATAGATAAAACTATCTAATCTAATGTTATTACATTTATAAAAAAATCTCTTGTCAGTAAGCTTAGTCTTCGTTGTCCAAGTTTACTTGTATTACTAAAAACACGTACACGAGGCCAAGAAAGAAATTACCCACAGAGAAGCACAGCTGTATAACAATTTGCTAAAATTTGTTTAGCGAAAATTATTCTCAATAATTAGTTTGAAACCACCTGTTACGATATTGGCTGGATGTGAAATCGTAACCATCTCATACATTTTAAGCTTTAAATACCTAACACTGTTTCGGTGGCCATTAGAATGATAATATCATATGTTATTTTATATTCTCATGTCAGTGGCTTTTTGTCTCTTTGAGAATAAATTATTTAAACCTAAACCTACATACGAAGACCCTGCATATTGAATGGTTTATATTGCTCGATGGGAGGAAAGGCACTCGGACCACATTGGTGTCGGGCCTATTGCTGTAGTGGTTTTTGTTCCTGACTGCTATGCGCTGTTCTGTGTCTGGATCTAGTTTACTTGCAATATGTATGCGTTTAGAAGTATAAAAGTATGTTTATCACCAGTCTGGTTACCATAGTACATGCTCTGCCTAGTTCGGGATAAACTGATGGTTTAATAGACATTGCGGGCCTATAATTGTTTAGAAAATCCGTCCATTATGGTCGGATCTTCTATACTGATACCTTATTAATATACAAATATTATTATTATATTAGTGAGTCACGATAAATAATAGGTAAGTTTTTGTTTCAGATATGGAAGTACCAAGGTGCAAAAGGAAACATATTTTCATCCCTCTATGTAAAGAAAATAGGTAATTTCAACTGGCAAGTGACATTCGGTTGTCATGACAAAACAGTGTACAGTCTACACATAAAGAATTTTCAGCCACGACTGCATTGGAAAGCTCAGTTAAGTTCACCTATTTACTCAACTCCTTGTGGATTTGGGGACCAATTCATCTTAGCTGCTGCAAATAATGGAAAATTATGTATTATAGACTGTGATAACGGTTCAATTTTGGGAGAATACCAATTACCAGATGAGACATTTTCATCACCAGTCACATATGGCGATTATATATTTATAGGATGTCGGAATGATAATCTGTATTCTATTAAATGTATATTTAATTCAGATAGCTCAATTCTTTTAGGAGAAAACCATTGTTAATGTTAATAAAAACTAGTCAAATCGCAGAATAAACCAATTAATAAACCTATTTATGACTTTTACTTAATGAAACCACAATATATTTGTGCTGTTATCAAGTTGAAGTATTCATTTGAATGCAATTATCTTAGATTAAATTAAAAACTTACTATAAACTTAGATTAAAACCTGAAAATTCATTCAATTCATTTATTGAGAAAATGTAACATTATCTTTTAGTTAGTGGGATGGTAAGTCTGAACAATGGCAGGCAGTACTGGAGTAAATTCAGTTATTTTACATACACTAAAACAGCAGAGTGTAGAAATAAAACTCACACCCATATTTAATTAAAACTTTAATTCATGATCTTACACAACATATAGGTATAATGAGCATTCATAAATTTTGTAATATTACAAGTATGATATGGTTACAGAGTTAAACAAAATACCAAATTGGAATGCATAATATCTGGTACAAATAACCTAGTACTTGTGCAGATCATTAGCCTGGAATACTTATAAGCAGCCTTAATAAAGTAGACATAAATCCTTTAAATAAAATATTTTTTGGCAATTAAATGTATAAATCATTTATGGAACCACAGGGTATCATACATACATTATTTATTAATACTTGATCTACAGTTGATACATCTTAGCTATTCAAAATTGTTAACCCATAATCCATAGACTATTGTTGCCAGAACACTTCTTAAACAAATATAAAATTAACAAGCAAATGTACATAAATATTGTATATATTATAGTTATAATTTTTATTCACTGCTCTTCCTCTCCGAGTTCAACTTTTACTTTGGAGAAATCAAACTCTTCTCCAGTGCCATTCTTGTATATCTTAATCACGTCTAAACAGGTAGTCTCAAAGTGTGTCGTAGCATCATATGATTCAGACACAAAGACTTGGCTCTGAGTGCCATCATCAATAGGTTCATAGTAGTCTGACACAGACACAAATTTCTGTCGTATAGATCCAAGGAGGTCCAAACCTGGCTTAATTTCAGATTCAGGATCCTTAGTTTCAACAGTAGTTGACACCATGGCAATGAACCAACCCTTAGCAGCCACCTGGTGTGTGTATGACACAACAGATATATAGATATCAGAATGCCTGCCTACTTGCTTTTGAGGAATGATGATTTGAGTAGATAAAGCATCTTTAGTATTAGCTATGGGATGATCCAATAAACAGATGCAGCGGATAACCTGGCCCTTCTTGCGGACTCTGTCAGGTACATAGCTGGGGTCGCAATACACCTGCTTACACTTAGCAATTTCATTCCCTGAACGAACACCAACCACCTTTCCACCTTCTCCCAAAACAATTTCATCAATGGGTTTATCAAGCATGTAAGTGCCTCCGTAGATAGCAGAGAGTCGAGCAAAACCCTGAGGCAATTCACCTAGGCCATACATAGGATATAAATAGGGTGATTTCCCATATCTGGCAAGTGAATCAGAGTACAGTTTAATACGATGGATAGTTTGAATGGCAGGCTGCTGGAGGTAGTTATCGTTGAGGTAGAGGGCCAGAGCATGCCCAGTAAAGTCTTGGGTGTTTTTATCTAGGCCAAATTTGTCGTACAGCGACTGCATGTTGGCTGTACTGGGATCGAAATCTTTCCAAGTCTTCACATCATCTTCCTGAAAATCTTGAACATAAATTAGGAAGTTGCGGAACCGTCTCTTCTCAAACATTCCCATAAGATCAGATGCCAATGCTTCTTTCTGATCAACGGGCACTTTGGAGATTTTGCCACCTTTGTAGACATAGCTCCCTTCCACCGACTTGAATTCCAAATATCGGGTCACACCCGTATGAATAAGAAGCTTCACAAGAAGCCCATTAGCCATCAGTAGTTTGGGAATCAAATCTACATTCCAGTCGCGACCTCGGCCGTATGTTTCATCGGGGGCCGGAGCGTTGAACTTTGCGAATAATTCTTCTAACGGGGTAATTGACGCAGATTCGCCGCCGTAGTACTTATTACGATCAATATGTAATACCTTCTTTCCGGACACAGAAAGCATTCCACTTAGAATGCATTCTTTCAATCCAGTTCCAAGAACTATTGCGTCGTATTCTTCATCCATGTTGAAACTTACAAGAGAAAATATTCCAATCTGATTCACAAACCGGGAGGTAAATGTCAAAATGTCGGAAAGAATATGGCCGATTCGGTGACGTCGACGTGTGAAACTAGTGATGCACTATTTTGAACAGAATCTGAAGAGTTGTTAAAATAGATTAATATTTTTCATTAGTGTCAATAAATTAAATGAAATCTGTGACTTTAACAAATAAATATTTCCTTAAAACTGAAAATTATTTTAGAACCTTAAAATCGAGTCTATTTTGATTCGAAGCAATTGTCTTCTTATGAATGATATCTATCTGGAAATAAATACTGTCATTGTAACATTTCCAAGTAAACTTCTTACGTAAATTGTAATTAATTCAAACACAATAAAAAATGAGAAATTAGAAAATCATCACATAGTATCATTCTACTCCGAATATTTTTGTACTCTTTTACTATAGTATATTAGATTTTATTATAAGATATTATAGGATTCTCTTTTATTATTTTAAATCTAATAGATATTAAGCTGAATTAAATGAGCGATGCTGATGGATAAATTTTAATTAAGTTGAAATTAAATTGTTAAAAAATATTCTGATGTACTTAGTATTCGAAAGTCAATCGACGCCCTTAATTACAAGAATGGGCCTTTATTTTTTGATTAATCCTATTGCCAGTACAAATATTTTAGATCACTAATAGGGTAATGTTAACAATTAGATTCTTGATATTTCATTCAGAAAATAGATAAAAAATATCCTGGTGTGATTCATTTGTAATTTGTATAAAAGGAATTAAGTAGGTAACTCATTAAACATTTATTTATGTAAAAATTTGGTTTATCAGCTCTAGAATGTATCTTTTGTGGACAACTTATTTATTTTATTTGTTATTTACAATTTTTCACGTCATAAATGATTATTTTTATTGTACAACTGCAGCTTCTCTTATGTTAGCTAGAAAATAAAAGAGGTAAAGCCTCAGAGCGAGGGAACGCCGCATGAGTCATGTTTTTTCGTGCGTGCAGCCGGCTCCATCGAATTATAAGACGTTGTCACGTCAAAAAACGAGTGTGATTCAGACCACACGGCACACGACTGAAGTAAAACTTTATTGCTATGAGAGAAAGAGAGAAAGAAAAGGTGTGGTCGCACCTCTCTCTCTCTCTTGCCGGTACAGTAATATACGAAACAGTACTCTCTCTCTCTTTCTGTCTTCACTAACTTATATCTACAACTCAACTTCCGATAGCCTCGCCCGATCACACTTTTCGTAAGGCTCTTCACGCATTCACCAGCTTACTTCTCAAGTAAAGCGTGCGTACAGAAGTTTTACTTTAATAATCCTATGAGAGACAATATAAACGACACATAACTTTTTAGTAGAATAGTAAGAGTATTAGTTATTTTTAGTCAAAAGTTTGTGTGGTGACGGATTAAGAATATGGAATGTCACCACCCCTATTCATCCCGTAGGTGTCGTACAAGCTGACTAAGCTAACAAAATACGCAGGCAACAGTACTGCAAAAAGAAGGAAAACTTAATACAAATCCTATACTAAACCTATATGGCCAGCGTTTTTAAGGAGACGCCCATGTTCAGCAGTGAACTTTTAAAGGCTGGTGATATGATTAAAGATGAGTCATAAGGTTACGAGAATTTCATGAAAGATGACTAGTTACGTGTATACCACTATTAGTCACACTCACTATTTTTGAGAACGTATAAATCGTAATTTTCGTAACGAGTTTTAGTAAGTTGCTACCGTAGCTGATGTATAATTAAAATGTCTCAAGTCTTAAAAAAGGTTGTCAAATCAATAAAAAGTTAGTAAAGTAAATCTTAAGTTGAACTTAATGAATTAAAGGTATGCTCAACCAAACAAATTAAGTATTTGTTTTATTATTTCATTTATTTAGAAGTTTAATCAATATTTGCAATGACTTATGACAATAATAAAATGTTTTAACATTTCAGTTTAGTTTATTTTTAACTTATTACCTCTCTGAATATAAATGGTCTGAAATATCATCATGGATTGTGTTCATTATCTAACTGCTCTGTTAGTTTACTAGTTTCTAAAATCATAGGCATATGCTTAACAATTAAAGCTTTTATATTATTTTTGATAGTCGATAGGCAGAGTTAAGAATTAAAATACAATTGGTTTTGGTTCTTCATAAACTCTCATGCCAAGACATGTTTACCAATTATATCCATAAAGGGCAAAACTCACGACACTTCAAATAGACGAGATCTCTACTTGCAGTACTGCTTAAAATACTCACGTGTACTATACATACGCACGTACCAATTATACAATATTATACATCCATCATATCAAAAACTATTCAACACGATAGAGAAATTGGGGAAAATTAAAAAAATGGGACATTTGAAATAGTTACTGGCAACCACTCCCTTAAAATCGTCAAATTCGTCAACTTGGCAAACCCGTAAATAAACGTCAGTTGTCAGTAGGGATTTTCCGATACCACCTAAGTATCGATACTTACTCATTTCGATAATACTCAAATCTTTTTTCGATACTACACAAATAAGTACTCCTCAAGTATCGATACTTACTGATATCGATACTTTTTGGAACTTTTATTTTATTATTTTGAGGGTGCTATCAATGAACGTTGAAGGATAATAATTTAAACAAAATTGAGACGAAAAAAACTATTTATTTATTATAAATGTTTATTAGGCTTGTTATAATTTAAACAAAAAACTTTTCAGCATTAAGATTGCCCAAAAACAGTAACTGTTCAAGGTATTTAGAAGACAATCTGTTTCTTGTTTGTGTCATTGTTGCACCGGCTTTGGAAAAAAGGCACTCGCTAGGAACTGATGTTGCAACAACAATTAAATATTGCTGTGCATACTTGTACAGACAAGGAAACACCAACTTCATGTCATCCCATTCTGCAAATGGGTTGCTTTTAAGAGAAACTACTGGATTTGATAAATAAAGAGAAACTTCATCTCCCTGATGAGATTTTTTTTTCTTCTTGTGCCCATGTGCTAACTCTTTATGATGTTTCCAAAAATCGTATTCAGGTGGTGCAGTAGATGAGACATCATCTTCTGACTCACTTGGGCTACTTAGTTGTCCGACAACCATGGTTCTAAGTTTTTGAATAGCTCTTCCGCATGCAGAGGGGTCTTGGAAATGCAGATTTTTAAACCTTGGGTCTAGAATTGTTGCAATGGCTGCATGATCGTTTAATTCAATCATCCCATACCTCCTTTTCAGCTCTCTCAATAAAACATCCTTACATTCTTTAACGATAGCGGAGTTTGGAGTGATACTATTCAGTTCTGTAGTTAAGCAATTAAGCATTGGTATAATTTTGGAGATTGTTACATACTTTTGGCCCGATGATTCTCTTGTTACATATTCAAAAGGCTTTAATACAGTTGTAAGCTCATTCAAGGTTTCCATTTCCACTGCACTTGGCAAATTTGGAGCCACTACACTCTCAATTACAATTTCTGATATTACTATTCTTAACTTTAGAAATCGCTCTAACATAAAAAAGTTGAGTTCCACCTAGTTCTTACATCTGCAATAAGTTTTAAACTGATCCTGCCGAAACATTATTACGCATTTGGATTTTTCGTAGCTTATCCGACTGCACAACACTATTTTTTTATCCAATTAACAATTTCTCGTACTTTTATAACAGCTGATTTAACACTGGGCAACTTTAGTGCCTCTTCAACTACAAGGTTAATAGTATGGGCAAAACACGGTAAATGTTTTTTTTCGCCTAAAGACATTCGTATGGCAGCCAACATTGAACTGGCATTATCTGATACAGCAGCACGAATTTTGGTAAGTGGAATATTCCATTTTTTCAAAATATCCAGCAGGTTTTCCGATATGTATTCAGCTGTATGTCGCTGTCTTAATGCACGAGTTGCAAGATAATACATACACATTTGACCATTTTCTACAAAATGTATGGTGACGCCCATGAATCCTACTTCATTCATTGTCTCTGTCCATATGTCCAGCGTTAAACAGAAATTGTCTATCTTGGATAATTTGGACTTACAAATAGTTATACAAGCTTCGTACTTTTCGGTAGTCATTTTCTTTAAATACTTTGCGCCAGGAACTTTAAAAGTAGGCTCCAGTTCTTTTACAAGTCGTGAAAAGCCTTCACCTTCAACTATATTAAATGGACGCATATCTTGACAGATAAAAAATATCAATGCTTGAACAATTCTGTTATACTTCGTACCACCAGCTAAAAATAAAACTCAATTTTAATACATGTAATATTAAATTAAATATTTATATTTTTTTCTTTAACACTAATACTATATGTATTAATATTATTTTGCTAATATTTAATTAAATATCTATTTATTTACCTTTATTAGATGAAATTCGTTCAAACGCATTCTTTATTGAATTGCTCAGACATAGCTCCCTTGCAGTCTCCGAGTCCATACTTGTTAATGTGGTTACACTAGAGCAATCATCACGATCTTCTGAAATTTTCGATGTTGATGCTTGGGGTTGATCATCTTCCATTAAATGCCTTGAGTTGGCCAACACTATTGTATTTTTTGAACTGAAACATAATAACAAAAATTAACACTTGATAGATCGATAATCTTCAAAGTATCGATAATACCAACTCCAACACTACCGCCATTTAACAACACTATTACACTAACAAAAACAAACACATAACCTTAAATTGTTTAAATCGTATTTATACAAAGGAAATATCTCATCACCGGTCATCAATTATTATTCATATATTATTAATATATAGACAAGACAATCACAGTACCACTGCTGCAAAACTATTTTTTATACAAATAAAATAGGTAGGAGTAGGTAGGATTTTTTATTTAACATCTTAGGAAAGCAATCGCAAAAAAAAAGAAAAGTTTAGAATCCTACCTTTCGTTGGACTTATTATTTTCTTTTTTCTGTAATTTGCCTTTGTCCACAGAAATTCCATAAGTTTTAGAATGCTTGAATAAATTCGACGTATTCCCACAATACTTCACAGACTTAAAACACTGTTTACATTTTGCAATTGTTTCGTTTGTTTTGGTAAAATGTGTCCATATTATAGATTTTGGTGGTGCCATGATAACATTGGAATAAACCGATGAATTTGATGATTACAATTAATAAAATTACTTGTAAGCAATCACTTAACACTTTCACAATGGCGGAATGGCGAGATGATTTGCGAGCGGGTGCGGGTGTTTTCTTCTCTCGCTTTCGGCTCGGGCGGGCTCGGCTGAAGTCGGACGAATTCGGCTAGCCCAGCGCGAGACAACGCGTCACTCACGCCGCCACGCGACGAATACCGGTAACTCGGTAACCTGATTAGCTGACTGTTTTTGCCTCGTTTTTGCTCTCTTAGTTCTGTATGATGCGTTCTCGGTTTTTTTTATTGTATTCGGTTGTTTTGCTGATTCGATTCGATACCAAGTATATTTGTTTCGATACCGATTATGTATCGCAAAATTGATTCGATACAATAAATACTTGGTATCGAATCAAAAGTATCGAGTACCTACTCGTATTTATTAGTATCGGAATATCCCTAGTTGTCAGTTATTAAGTTTGGTCTTTCACGTACGTTGTCTTTTTTGCTTATATTTTGAGTTTCATCTCTCTATCGTGTATTTATGTAGTGTGATGACAAAATATTAAAATTTTAATTTGAGAGTTTTAAGAATGTATACAAGACATATTTTAAAACTTTACACTTATAATGGAGTTTTTTGAAATTAAGCATGTTAGTTATGTGTGAATTGGTGAACAGGTGACTTCCTACCATATGTTTCGACTCGTACGGCACATTCTTCTTAAATCACCTTTTAAGATATCATCCAAATACGCCGTGGCAAAGCAGCAGTTTTAAATGAAAGGTAAAAGTGGATTGAACAACGTTCAAATGAATAAAAATGTCAACAGAAGGAAGCGGAGAAACTCCCATTGTGCCATGTTTACCTGGGGCACCGGAGCAAACTTACCTATTTCCGAAAGCAAAAGGGCACTCGAGATCTATAAGTCATGGAGGGACACCTACTCTTGCGACAAATCCTACAATTGCCCGTCCTCCACTCAAGTCTGCATTGCGGGGGCACCAGCGTGCCCTCTCACACGGGCAGATCGGCGAGGGTGGACGGCCGTCGTCCGGTCCCGGCCACAGCCGTACCGGCAGTCGCACAGACTTTATCCTGCCGCCAGGCCATCGCGAGCCTCCCATTGCCAGCGCACAGCCGCGTCTTGGTTCAGTACGGATGCACCATCACTCACGCCAAGCCTCGCGCTCAGATTCTATTTACACAATTCGTCGCACCTCTGTTATGAGTCCTTGGAGGAAAGCAGCATTTTGGTTATTAAGAAGACCACAACCATCTGTTGATAATCGTCATCTAATAATCACTCCCAACCACTTGGTGCCTGACAAAACACCTCTCAAGGATCACCCAAATGGTCATAGATGCGACAATAAAATTAGGACTACTAAATATACTCTACTGTCCTTTGTGCCTAAGAACTTATTTGAACAGTTTCATAGGATTGCAAATGTGTACTTTATATTCATAGTGTTGTTGAATTGGGTGCCAGCAATTAATGCATTTGGTAAAGAAATTGCTATGCTGCCAGTGTTGTTTGTGCTCGGTGTGACTGCCATCAAAGACTTGTTTGAAGACCGCAGAAGACATATGTCTGATAAAAGAATAAACAACTCTTCTTGTAGAGTGTTCAAGAAGTAAGTAATCACTTATTTACACATTTAGATAACTCTTAGCCATAGTAAACATATGTTTGTTGTACTAAAGTAACTATTATTGAAAGTAAAGTCATAATTCTATCTCACTAACCAAGGACAAGTTTGCAAGCAAAGATACATACAGCAGAACTATATTGAGAGCATCATTATTTTATGTGCTGAGGTCATAATCGTAGATGAACAATCCAAAATGTATGAGTCATATTTTGTTAGATTTAGGAGAATAAAGTCTACAATAAATATTAATTGGATCTTGATATAATAGAGTGATATATGCAGGTTATGTCTGTCCCATAACTTGCATATATCACTCTTATAGTACATACAAGTATGTACATAAGTTTTTCTGAAACATTTAGAATAACCATATCCTTTACTCATTGATAAAAGTATAGGCACTTAATCATCACACTTTTAAATTTCTGTAAATTTAACTCTGCACTGAACACTTTATAAAGTATCAAAATGTTGTGGTATGGTCTATAGTTAACATTACTTAAATGCAGAATTGATAGGTAGGAATTGATTAGGTAGGTATTAAAGGCAATAGCCTTTAATACCTACCCAATAAACGTAAAATATCATAGAGATAATGAATTGTCAATTTATGGTCACATTCAATTAAGTAAATAGATACTAACAGATAGTAATAGATATAACAGTTAATTCTTATTTAAGTGATATTATTTACATTAGCGAAGAAGTGTTTGAACAAGTAAATATCTGATGTTAACAAACTAATACTAATTGAATTAATATCAATAGACACACAATTTCCGTGTGGTGACGGATTAAGAATACAGAGTGTCACCACCCCTATTCATCCCGTGGGTGTCGTAAGAGGCGACTAAGGGAGCGAAACACGCAGGACACCAGCACTGCAGAGAGAAGGAAAACTTGACACAAACCCTATACCAACCCGTCTGGCCAGCGTGGTATAGTAGGCCAAAACCTCCTTTCTAAGGAGAGGCCTATGTCCAGCAGTGGACTGTTAAAGGCTGATGATGATGATGAGACACACAATAAATCAATACTGACTTACCTAAAAGTTTAAGTATCTAAAGCGGAAATTAATATTATTCTTATAGTTACTGAAGCAGATAAGGCCATCAGGTAAAATATTTGTAAATCTCATTATCAAATAATAATTTGGGGTCGGCGCAGTAGGTGTGATTCTTCCATTCTACTATATCATTCGTCATCACACTGTTTACTGCCTTCCTAGCCACATACTCTCTCATGCAGTCTATCCACCTTTTCTTTGGCCTTTCACTGCCCTTGCACCCTTCAACTCTCATACCTACCACATCTTCTTTATCCCTCCGCATGACATGTCCATACCAAGAAAATATATTACTTCTTAACTTTTTATCCAGTGGCACTACTTTCAGACTCCCTCGTATATAATCATTCCTAAACCTGAGTCACACTACACATCCATCTCAGCATTCGCATTTCGGCTACTTTCAGGTGTCTCTCATCTGTTCTCTTAATGGGCCAACTTTCAGAACCTTAAATCAAATAATATGTGCAAACAAAAAAATAATAATTTAGTAAAATAACAACTTCTTCTTTTTTTTAAATTGGTTAAAATTATATTTCAAATAGAAAAATATCACTAATATTTTATGTTAAAAAGTACTAATATAATTCTTTGCAACAACATATGACGTAGGTGTAACACCTATGTATATAAATTGCCGGCAATTTTTTATTTATACATTATTATATTACTGCCCATTATTACGTCATAAATTCACTTTGTTCTAAAACCTTATCTTTTAAGACATTAAAAACGAGTCCATGAAGCCCATCAGCGTTGTATGAATACCATTATTCTGCCTCTCTCTCACATTAGATCTTTATTTAGCTGCCTTTTATCTTGAGAACGGAGTTTCATTTAGCCGTCTTTACGTAGAGCACGTCGGATTATGATTTAGAATAATTAAAAAATGTATTTGTCATAATTATGTGCTATCACCAAGCTGCTACTTTTTCTTTGTATCAAAAAATTAAGCAACTTTCATAAACAAGGCATAAACAACAAATACCCAATATTTATTTAAATAATTTTGAATGCACTTATGGCGTAGTGGTTTAAGCGCTTACTGCGCTGGGTGTTGTGGGTTCGATCCACGTGGGTTGGACAACGCAAATTGTTGTTCTGAGTCTGCGTGTTCTTTGTGAACACAAAGATGAAAGTTTGTAAAGTCCCTCCGACACAGGATATATTCCTAGTGCGGAAGTTGTCTTTAAAAATGAAATGAATTATAATTACATATTTAAATGATCGATATATTTATTGAGTAATGGTTGTTTTAATATTACTCAAATAGCGCGAAAAATAAACATACATAACACCGCGAGCGAGAACTGTGTAATTCCATAATTTTAACATCAACGACAGGAAATTTAGCGTAGCGTATGTGTAGAAATTGTAACGACGGACACAATATACGTAACCTTATGTAAACTGTTTCGGATGTAAAGTATAAGTACCCTTGGCTGTGCCATATACGAACTATTATACCAACCCCTGCCCACTTTTTAAAAAGCTTATTTCACGAACGGGTTCTCTCTAGTTTCCTTCAAATGTATTTTAAAATTTAATAGTTCATTCAATATCTTGAGACTTTTACTGTCATATATTTTCCAACAAAAAGAAAAGACATTATCTCAGTAGATAAGTGACTTTATTTTGATATGCAAGAACCCTCTTTGTTTAGACTACAAAATTGTGGAGTACATACTACCTCTTAGTGGTTAGTGCGCGAAACGAGGATAACAGAGCTTCATTCTTATTTTAACCTTTCCCATATCGGACAGAGCCAGATTTTTGTATAAATTATATGTGTTAACTATAAACAATAGACTTATATGTAATACGACAAGACGTATATACTGTGTTAATTATGTTACTAAGCGGAATTGTCTAATTTGCCATAGGTCATTAAATAAATAAAAAAATACTGACTTTAATTAAGAAAACCCGGAACGTAATCAAAATTAAATATTAACCTGTACAAGCCTAGTAATTTGAAGGTATGTGAGCACGTGTGTAATCCAGTACAGAGATACCAATATATAAGTAATTCAACGTAATACACAGTACATTTTTTATGATGTTTGCTACACCAAGTGTCTAGTTGATTCAACCGCAAAGTAATAATAAATTATCAATTAGTGGTACATGCAGGATGAAAAGAACAACGAAATTAATTACTTGACCTATTTATAAATAGTAAAGTTTATGAGTCATCATGTTTTAGAATTTTTGATTGGAGCATTTGTAAAACACTTGCTCTCTACTTCAAGCTTTTTGTATTCACAGACTAATGAATATCATGTCCAAAACAAAAGGGGCTGATACCAAAATAGTCTATCGTGCGGCAGTTTTCCCAAAAACAATAAATTTTGTGATCAGAAGTGTCGACATGAATTGCAGCTATCATGTTTGGGTCATAGCCCATTAAAAAATGATTAAAATATTTGGGTGTTGATAGGTACGGGAATAACTTGGATACGAAAACCCTCACAGAATTTACGAAAGTTAGGAAAATTTTTTGAAAGAGTTTACCAGGATTCCATGCGACACAGGTTGTGTTTATAATCCTGGATTTTCCAAAAAGGGAAGTTGAGCCTTTTTAAAAAATTAAAAAAAAAGGAAGGTATCAAAAAGCTTTATTAAATTTTGGGAAACATGAATTATTTGAAAAAAAAAAGAAAACAAAAACTTTGATATTATTTAAGGTTATATGTGGGTATACAAGTCGGCGATAATGATTTGTGAACAGGTCCAGAATTTTAAAGAAACGTTTAGCCGTAAAAAAAATACAAAAAATTTGATGCTAGCAGTCTGCCACCGTGTAAATCCCGAGCTGCTACAACAATTTCTGCGAGCCAACTATTATAACATTTGGAATAATGCAAATCAGCAAATTCCAACAATTTATCAACCCGAGAATAATGGTTGGGTTCTCGAAGATAATCAGTACCATTTTAAATGGTTCGAAGGTGATTAGTTGCCAAATTTCGTCAGAGAATCACTGAAAACTGTCTCAGGTATAAATACTACTTCAAACCATTATACATATTTTTTAATATTTTCAATCCCATTAGCTTTTTCATATTTTTTACAGAAACTGACGAAGAAGAAGACGACGATATCGAATGGAGTAACTGTTAAGGTCTCGGTGTTAGATGATAAATAAAAGTGGGACTGTATGTTGCGCTGGTTTTTAATGTTCACAAGGGGTACGTTGAAGGAGCAGTGATCCCCTTCGAGTATATAAAGCGAGTGGGAGTACACAATAGCAATCTTGGTGGGAGCCGTTGCGTCCGCACCCTCGTTTGCTAGCGGTTCTAGCCGCTTGAAAACACCGGAAACCGTGATGTCGAGGATCGAGGTTTTATTCTGACAGTAACAGTGACGAAGAAAAAGATACTTTTAATAACTTTTAATGTCAAATCATTTTAATTTAAAATTTTTTAGTGTTATTTTTTTGGTTTTTATTTTTATAACCTGTCATTGACAGAATAAATTAAATTTTTTTAAAAATTTAAGATAGTTGTAGATCGAATGTCTTTTCTTAAGATGTTTTAAAAAAATTCAGGAAATTTTTAGTATTAAATCTGTGCCAAAAAAATTTTTATTTGCATGTCTTCTTAAGATTTACATGCTTGTCTGGCAAGGTGTTGGAACTATCAAAAATGTCTGGCTAATGAGGAAACATCATCTAATTATTACCTAAGTATTATAGTATAAAAATCAGCTTTTATACTATAACATAAGTAGAATTATAATTTTATGAACATTAAGGGTGTCGGCAAGGGGTTGCCACTATGTTAAGTGTCTGGCATGCAGCTCTTAATCATAGCGGCTCTTAATTGCCTATGATTCACGTACTGTCTAATATGTGTAACCTGTAGGAGCTTTTTAACAGTGGTGATTGTCATCGTTCGGTCGTTCTGGAAATCTGCTAT